TAGCTGCAGTATTGTTATCAAAACACTTGGGGTAACCAGCTTCGTATAAAACCGATAACAAACATTTATCGTGTTTTGAGGCTAACGCTTCAGCGAACTTCTTGTATTCAGAGCGTTCCTGCGCGTCTGAAGAGCTTTGGAAAGTCTCCAGAGGTAATCCAGTTGACGGTACTTGAGAGTTCTTTGGTGAGCTCTTCGGCACTGACTGCGTACAAAACTAAAAAAGACTCATCGTGTTTTAAAGCTGGTGTTCGAGAAAGCTTTCTTGATGCATTCCGAGCATTACTACGCGTCTGAGGAGCTCTTCGAGGGTTCCGGTGGTAACCTGGTTGAAGATTTACCGCCGGCTCCCAGTCCTACCCCTATCTCTTAAATCCAACAAACGACGGTATGAATTGACCAGCTCGAGTGGGTGGTGCTGTCGTGGAAGGTGCATACCTCGTAGAGCTCTTCGGTGCGATGAGCCAGAGGAATTCCGAGGCAGAGGGGAGCTAGTTGACGGACCCGGCCAGGGCGGACAATGTGGTGACCTGGTCGGTTTTTTGAAGATTATGAGAGCTTTGTGAATTCTTTTCAAGAGCCTTTATTTCTCTAACGTCTAGTAGATTATGCCCCGTCCGGCTCAACTTGGAAAACAAAGGTATTTTATTTGTGGTTTTCGGGGAAAGATTCGGCAATTCGTTTTGAAATATGAGATTCGTTTAGTGAGCATTGGATCACGCTGCGATCGCTGGTGAAAGTCTGAGGGCTGTAGCTGCAATATTTTATCGACTCACTTCGAGGGACCCAGCTCAAAGATGAGCTAGAGGAATTCCGGCGCTGGGTGGAGCTAGTTGACCGACCCGGCCAGGTCGGACAATTTGGGATCTTTGGGTCGTTTTTTTTTTGAAGATTGTGAGAGATTTGAAAGTTCCTTTTGAGAACCAATATCTGTCACACCTGTAGCAAGTTATACCGCGTCCGCCAGCGAAATTCTCAGGTCCTTAGCTCCAGCATTTCTATTAATCACTTGGCGGAGCCGTGCTCAAGTTGCAACCGTTTTTTTTCAGCAAAAAATAAAGAGATTGTGAGAGATTCGACATCTCATTGAAATCGCAGATTCTCCCAATGGGCCCTGGATCACGCTGCGTTCGCTGTTGCAGTCTCAGGACTGTTGCTTCAACATTTTTATCGGTGCACTTCCAGGAATCTACCTCGCAAGCTAGAATTTTTCAAGAAAATTGAAGTTTTCCATGCATTTTCGGAAGTTGGAGATTTGTTTGGAAGTGAATTCTCTCTGCAACCGTAGTTCCCGTCCGTTCGCTTGCAAATTATTGAGCATCTAACTTTTAAGATATCAATTATTTATGCAATCGACTTTCTGTCACTGTTCGCATTGACAGCATTGTTGTACTGAGCTCTACGAGGTTCCCGGCGGTAGCCTGGTTACGGTTTACCGCCGGCATCCAGCCATCATTTGTAGCACAAGGTGCGGGGGGTTCGCTGCAACTGTCTGATCTACAATTGCTGCCTTTGTGCGAAGTCGCACGGAGCTTTCCGAACTGGGTGTGCAGCGTGATGCGAGCGGGCCAGCGGGGGCACGCGTCTCCGCCCAGCTTCCGATCACAGGATTCAGCCGCGCAGCTAAGCTCAGGGATGGCAAGGCAACCGTCGAGCTGCAGCAGGCGGATCACCAGGGGCCGCGTGCATACCCGTGGGCTGCACCACCCATGCTGCCACGACGGAGGGTCCTTGATTGTCCTCCACCCGCTGACAACGCACACTCACAACATTGACGCTGTCCCCGGCCAGGAGGTGATGCTGCAGCGTACCCAGAATATGGACAGAAGTGGCATGTAATTATTCCTGCCCAGTCTCCACCCCGTAACGTTGTTCCCTCGGGGACACAAGATTGCTGTGTTCGGGCGGGCAGACGTGCAGTCATTTAGAATTGGTTATGGCTTGGGAAGTGCGAGTTCGTAGTGATTTGCGAGGGGAAGCGGTCGTGATCTATGAGGGGTTATGCCTTCGGGGGCGCTAAAAAAGATGTCCCAGGCCCCCCCTCAAATTATTGTTACACGCCGGTCGTTGAAAGTAGGTATTGTTGGATTCCCAGAACCCAATGCACTTTTGGCGCCTTCCTACTTCGAGGATCGACGGGTTTCCTTCTCCCCTGGTCTTCAAGGGGCTGGCCGAAGCCCAACCGGCTTCCAACGCCTTCCTACGTCATGTTTCGACCCACTTCATCCGATTGGCGTGTACGTGATTCTGGGGGGAGGTGAGGTGCTTTTCGGGCTCCAGCCCTCGCGAGGAAGTCATTCATTACAACTGTCATATAACACCTGCAACTATGCATTGGGACCTGGAACAAATGCTTTGATCAGGAAACCGATGCCTCCCAGCTCGCTGCAGTGAGGCCCTCTACGGCTGTGTTGGGTCCCTCCGGAGGCTTTACTGGACTGCTTGGGGCCCTCTAAGGGTCTTTCTTGGCCGTCTGCGAGCCCTCTCGGGGCTATTTTGGGCCGTCTTGGATGCATCTTGGGTCATCTTGGCGGCCTTGGAGGGCTGCCACGACCGTCTTGGGAACTCCTGGAGCCCGGATCGTTTGCTTTGACAAGAGATTTTTACTTCGGGCGCGCGGACTCACATTTTTTTCACTAGGGATCCTGGCCTCGGGAGCGCGGATTCATTCCTTAGGCAGCTTCGCTGTAAGCGTTCTTTGTCTTCTGGAGAAACCAGTAGGTGCGCTGCCCGATCTAGAATCGGTCGGTCGACGTTGTCTTCCATTCTCTCCCATTGTCTCCCGTTGTCTCCCTTCTTCTCCCATTATCCATTGTCTCCCGTTGTCTCCTGTTGCCTATTTTTTTACCTATCCGTATACCTGTACCTGTCCCTGTCACTATACTTATCCGTATCGCCATTGTTTATCATTTTCTTCCACTGTCTCCCACTCTTCCAATTTGTCTCTCATTGTCTATCACTGTCCCCTATTCATAAACATCCCCTCCCCCACACGACCGGGAGCCATCCCTTACCCATGCGCACCCCCCCCACCATCCCTTTCATAAAGCTTGATAAGCTTTGCCTTCAAATCTGGAGCATACGCGGGCGCCCCGCGACCACTTTGTATTGGCTTCTGGCGTGGACGGCGAGGATGCTGGCGTATTGCTTGCTGCGCGCAGGCCAACGCCCCCCTACCATCCCTGTGCAAAAAATATGAATAAGTTCACTTTGCACCAAACTTTGGATCATGCGTGGACACCCTGCGATCACGTCGAGTGGGTTTTTGACAGGGATGGCGGGGGGGACGGCGCATCGCTTGCTGCTCGCAGTGTCCGAAGCCTCCAACCATACCCTGCGAGGAACAGCATGCAAGCTGCACTTGCGCCACGCTCTGGATCCCGTGCATACGCCTCGCGCCCACACCTGCATTTTGGTGTTTGACAGGGACGGTGGGGTGTCGGCACATGGTTTGGTGTGCGCAGGCCTACCATCCCTGCAGCCAATCCGCACAGTAACGAGGGGCCCCATTCCTAGGGGTACCCTTGCATCCTCGTCCCTTCGGCCCATACCTGGTAATTCTCGCTGGCCGACCTCGTTCGAAACACACTAACGTGGCCCTCCAAGGCCTTTGCATCCTTACCGCAGAGAGAGAGAGAGAGAGAGGGAGAGAGAGAAAGATAGACATATATATATATATATAGAGAGAGAGAGAGAGAGAGAGAGACTGAGAGAACAAACTGATAGAAGTAGGGAAACATACAGGGAGACGGACGAGGAGGAGGCAGGAGGCGGAGGAGGGGGGGGGAGGCAGGAAGCGGGGGAGGAAGAGGGAGGGAGGAGGAGGAAGAAGAGGAGGAGGAAGGAGGAAGAGAACGAGGAGGAAGGAGGGAGTATCAGAACGAGGAGGGAGGATCAGGAGGAGGATCAGGGCGGGTCTTTCTGATACGGGCCGACTGTATCAACAACGAGAGAGACGCAGGCTCATGTGGCAGGGGACGGCGGGGCGGGGCGGCACGTTGCCTGCCGTGGGCAAGGCCCGCCCCCCTTGTCAGAAGGCGAATGCAGCGCGATCGTTGGCGCACACCCGCACACAACATCCTCCTGCTCCGACTCCTCGTCCTCCTCGTCCGCCTCGTCCGCCTCCTCCTCCCCCTCCTCCTCCTCCTCCTCCCCCTCCTCCTCCTCATCCTGTGTCATCCGCCCTCTTCCCTCCTCATCAAGCCCGCCCTCACGCTGCCTGGGTTTTCGACGGGGGCAGTGGTGAGGGTCGACGTGCTGCCCAGTGTGGCGCACCTGGCGCGCGTGGCGCAGTTGGCACGTGCGGCGCACCTCGCGGGCTGTGCGCACCTGGCTGGCGTCTGCGCTGGTTCTCGATGGTTGTCGATGGCGGCGCTTGTTCATGCTGAGACTCGGGCGCTACGTATGTGTTGGGTGGACGGGTGGGACTGAAAGAGGCGGCTCGTTGCTAATGGATAGCTTGTTTCCTATCCGTATCTCTATCCCTACCCCTATCCCTGTCCGTATCCCCATATCCCAATCCATATCCCTAGCCCTATATGCTGATCCCCATATGCCAATCCCTATCCCTACCCCGATCCCCACCATCCTGCCCCCCCCAACCGTGGCCACCCATGGGAACTGTGAAGATCTGTTCAGGGTATTCCGCCGCAGGGGTTTGATTGTTTTTGGGAGGGACCGCGGTCTGGGGAGCGCGGAGTAATATTTGTTTTTGTGAGGAGAAGTGTTTGGGGCGGTGTATGCTTGTAGTTGTTTCTTCTGGCTTTCGTTATGCAGATGATGTAAGATTACCGTTTCGCTGTTTGTAGCCTTGTAGATAGGCCATCAACCCGATGAGGGGCGATCCGCGCGAACAAGAAGGTTTGTGGGCGATGTATGCACCTGAGTCTGGTGAGAAGGGGGGGGGCCGTAGAAGATGGTACAGGAACCCTACCAGATAGCCCTTGGCATTCTACCACCACCGGCCCTACGAGCCCAACATGCCTTCTAGACAGCCCCGCAGGCGGCTTGGCTGAAGCCCAAGCTCGACCTTCCCATTCCCCAGCGCATTTTGCAGCACTCCTTCGTTCCTGCACATACCGAGCGCAATGCTCTCTCATTCCGAGGTGGATGCGCTTCTGATCATCCCTGGGCTCCTGGGGATCCTGTGGTCTGCGAAGGAGTGGGCCGCCGTCAGCAAGGTGAAGCTCGTTGGTCCAGATGGCATGGCCAGCAAGGATGCCGGCGGGGACACTGCGAGGATCTTGGAGGAGATGGCCAAGATCGCGGCCACTATTTCGACGGGCGCCATCGACTTCCTCTTCACCGAGTATGTGTACATGGGCATCTACATCGTGGTCTTCGGCGCGATCTTGTGCTTCTTCACGGGCGTCCCTACCACCTGCGCGTTCGTGGTCGGCGCCATCACCTCCATCCTGTGCGGATACATTGGCATGAGGATCGCCGTGTACACGAACGTTCGGACCACGCACGAGTGCTGGAGCACCATGGCGAAAGGCTACGCTGTCGCGATCCAGGGCGGCAGCGTGATGGGCTTGTCCCTGGTGGCCCTTGGGCTCCTGGCCCTTGTGGGGATCATCAAGACTTTCACGATGTTCTTCGCGTTCGAGACCCCGGAGGCGATGTACGAGGCCATCGCGGGGTACGGCCTCGGCGGCTCGTCCATCGCGCTCTTCGGGCGCGTGGGCGGCGGGATCTACACCAAGGCCGCAGACGTGGGCGCTGATTTGTCTGGCAAGAACGAGTATGGCCTGGAGGAGGACGACTACCGCAACCCGGCATGCATCGCGGACAACGTCGGCGACAACGTAGGTGACATTGCAGGCATGGGCGCCGACCTCTTCGGCTCCTTTGCGGAGGCCACATGTGCTGCGCTGGTGCTGGCTGCGGGATCGGAGCTGCGCAAGGACTACGCATCCCAGATGTACCCAGTGCTCGTGTCGTCCACGGGAATCGTCGTGGGCATCGTCACCCTCGTGTTGTGCAACATGCTCTTCAAGATCAAGGAGCTCGAGGAGGACAAGAAGGGGAAGTCCGTGGAGAATGGCCTCAAGGGCATTCTGGTCGTGAGCACCTTCCTGATGTCGCCGGTCGTGATCTGGCTGTCCCAGTCGTGCCTTCCGGCCACGTTCACGATGGGCGATCAAGACGTGAAGTGGTGGCACTGTGCTGTGGCCATCAATCTGGGTCTCTGGTCTGGACTGCTCATTGGCTTCGTCACGGAGTACTACACGTCCGGCAGCTACGAGCCCGTGAAGGAGATTGCCAACAGCCAGATCCAGTCCGCGGCCACCGGCATCATCTACGGCTTGGCGCTCGGCTACTTGTCGTGCATCATCCCTGTGCTCTGCCTGGGGATCACCGTCCTCGTCGCTCACACCCTCTGCGGCATGTTCGGCGTGGCGCTCGGCGCGCTGGGTATGCTGGGCACTATGACCATGGCCCTCACCATCGACGCCTACGGCCCCATCTCCGACAACGCAGGCGGCATCGCCGAGATGAGCGGGCTGCCCGAGCAGGTCCGCGCGAAGACGGATTGCCTTGACGCCGCTGGGAACACCACCGCGGCCATCGGCAAAGGCTTCGCCATCGGCTCTGCCGCGCTCGTGAGCCTGGCCCTGTTCGCCGCCTTCTGCCAGCGTGCCGAGGTCGACACCGTGGACGTCCTGAACCCGTGGGTCTTCACCGGCCTCCTGTTCGGCGCCATGATCCCGTACGCGTTCGCGGCCATGACGATGAAGTCCGTGGGCAAGGCGGCGAACGAGATGTACGAGGAGTGCATGACGCAGTTCCCGAAGATCATGGCGCCCGTGGGCTCGCCAATGCACGCGGAGCCCGACTACAAGAAGTGCATCAGGATCTCCACCGAGGCGTCCCTCAAGGAGATGATCGCCCCTGGCCTCCTGGTAATTCTCAGCCCGCTGGTGGCCGGCATCGGCTTCGGCAAGAACGCGTGCGCGGGGCTCCTCTCTGGCGCTCTGGTGTCCAGCGTGCAGCTGGCCATCTCCATGAGCAACACCGGTGGCGCCTGGGACAACTCGAAGAAGTACATCTCGGCTGGCCTGCTGCAAGACAAGAAGACCGGCAAGACCCACGCCAAGGGCTCCGACGCGCACAAGAACTCCGTGACTGGCGACACGGTGGGTGACCCTCTGAAGGACACGTCGGGCCCCGCGCTCAACATCGTCATGAAGCTGACGGCCATCCTCAGCCTCGTCTTCGGAAGCGCCATCAACACGTACTCCAACAAGAACGGTGGCCCCATCTGGCTCGAGGCGTGAGCGAAACCTGCGAAGGCTCGCGCTCTCCCGTGGACAGCCCGGAACTTTGTATGCCAGCCGCGATGGCCTCACAGGCTTTGGTCGCTGCCCCCACGATGGTGGAGGACAGATCGAGGCCAGAGCGGTACGAGCGAAATCCCCCATTCCTCGCCGTGTCTCCGAGGGGAGACATTCGCTGGCCACAGAACCGAGACGGCTCGGTTGGTTTTGACAGCGCCGGTGGGTGATCACAGGAAGGCCTGCGGCAGGGCACCCCGCAAGCGGGCGCCGTGGTCTCCACTTTTCGCGGCAGCATCCGCGGCCAGGCAGACCGCCCCAGGCGCACAGCGTTTGAGACGGGAGGACGTCGCGATCCGCACAAAGGATGGCTTCTCGACTGCTGGAGAAGGCCCCAAAGGCTCCCGAGACGGCCAAGTGGTCAACCCGGCGGCCCCCGAGGGCTCAAAGAGGACCCATCAGGCTCCCGGGAGGGCCGCGAGATAGCCCCAAGAGGTCCACAAGAGGGTCTTAGGAGGGCTCCAAGATGGCCAGAGAAACCCACAAGACGGAGCTGCAAAATGGAGGTCGAGGAGAAGGATGATGATGTTGTTGATGATGATGAGGATGATGATGATGATGATGATGATGATGATGATGATGATGATGATGATGATAATGATGCTGATGATGCTGATGATGCTGATGCTGATGCTGATGCTGATGCTGATGATGGTTATGCTGATGCTGATGCTGATGATGGTTATGCTGATGCTGCTGATGATGATGACGATGAGGAATATACTCAATCGTGCTATCTTGGACGGGTGATGCTGCTGCGGCAATGGCCGCTCCATTCTTTCGCATGCATTCCTGCTCTTCTTGTTCGACATATATCTTGCATGATCAGACACTGGCTGCACTCACATGTCTTACATGCTGGGCATGCCCTTTTTGTCGTACGAAGAGGACAACGAGGACGAGAATAACCACGAGGACGAGAGGAGGAGGAGGAGGAGGAGGAGGAGGAGGAGGAGGAGGAGGAGGAGGAGGAGGAGGCGGAGGAGCAGGAGGAGGAGGAGGAAGAGGAGGAGGAGGAGGAGGAGGAGCAAGGTGATAAGTTGGAGCATAGGAGGAATCGCGCGCGGCTCGTGGTGCAGCTCGATAATCGTAACCACTACGTATATCTGAACTGTTTTCGACCGCCACACGGATTGCATGTTCGGCGTTGTCACGCTTTGTGCGGCTCAAGCTTAAGCTCGGCATCGCAATCCCGGGCGCCGCCTGCAGCCCCCTTTCCTGCACATACCGAGCGCAATGCTCTCTCATTCCGAGGTGGATGCGCTTCTGATCATCCCTGGGCTCCTGGGGATCCTGTGGTCTGCGAAGGAGTGGGCCGCCGTCAGCAAGGTGAAGCTCGTTGGTCCAGATGGCATGGCCAGCAAGGATGCCGGCGGGGACACTGCGAGGATCTTGGAGGAGATGGCCAAGATCGCGGCCACTATTTCGACGGGCGCCATCGACTTCCTCTTCACCGAGTATGTGTACATGGGCATCTACATCGTGGTCTTCGGCGCGATCTTGTGCTTCTTCACGGGCGTCCCTACCACCTGCGCGTTCGTGGTCGGCGCCATCACCTCCATCCTGTGCGGATACATTGGCATGAGGATCGCCGTGTACACGAACGTTCGGACCACGCACGAGTGCTGGAGCACCATGGCGAAAGGCTACGCTGTCGCGATCCAGGGCGGCAGCGTGATGGGCTTGTCCCTGGTGGCCCTTGGGCTCCTGGCCCTTGTGGGGATCATCAAGACTTTCACGATGTTCTTCGCGTTCGAGACCCCGGAGGCGATGTACGAGGCCATCGCGGGGTACGGCCTCGGCGGTTCGTCCATCGCGCTCTTCGGGCGCGTGGGCGGCGGGATCTACACCAAGGCCGCAGACGTGGGCGCCGACTTGTCTGGCAAGAACGAGTATGGCCTGGAGGAGGACGACTACCGCAACCCGGCATGCATCGCGGACAACGTCGGCGACAACGTAGGTGACATTGCAGGCATGGGCGCCGACCTCTTCGGCTCCTTTGCGGAGGCCACATGTGCTGCGCTGGTGCTGGCTGCGGGATCGGAGCTGCGCAAGGACTACGCATCCCAGATGTACCCAGTGCTCGTGTCGTCCACGGGAATCGTCGTGGGCATCGTCACCCTCGTGTTGTGCAACATGCTCTTCAAGATCAAGGAGCTTGAGGAGGACAAGAAGGGGAAATCCGTGGAGAATGGCCTCAAGGGCATTCTGGTCGTGAGCACCTTCCTGATGTCGCCGGTCGTGATCTGGCTGTCCCAGTCGTGCCTTCCGGCCACGTTCACGATGGGCGATCAAGACGTGAAGTGGTGGCACTGTGCTGTGGCCATCAATCTGGGTCTCTGGTCTGGACTGCTCATTGGCTTCGTCACGGAGTACTACACGTCCGGCAGCTACGAGCCCGTGAAGGAGATTGCCAACAGCCAGATCCAGTCCGCGGCCACCGGCATCATCTACGGCTTGGCGCTCGGCTACTTGTCGTGCATCATCCCTGTGCTCTGCCTGGGGATCACCGTCCTCGTCGCTCACACCCTCTGCGGCATGTTCGGCGTGGCGCTCGGCGCGCTGGGTATGCTGGGCACTATGACCATGGCCCTCACGATCGACGCCTACGGCCCCATCTCCGACAACGCAGGCGGCATCGCCGAGATGAGCGGGCTGCCCGAGCAGGTCCGCGCGAAGACGGATTGCCTTGACGCCGCTGGGAACACCACCGCGGCCATCGGCAAAGGCTTCGCCATCGGCTCTGCCGCGCTCGTGAGCCTGGCCCTGTTCGCCGCCTTCTGCCAGCGTGCCGAGGTCGACACCGTGGACGTCCTGAACCCGTGGGTCTTCACCGGCCTCCTGTTCGGCGCCATGATCCCGTACGCGTTCGCGGCCATGACGATGAAGTCCGTGGGCAAGGCGGCGAACGAGATGTACGAGGAGTGCATGACGCAGTTCCCGAAGATCATGGCGCCCGTGGGCTCGCCAATGCACGCGGAGCCTGACTACAAGAAGTGCATCAGGATCTCCACCGAGGCGTCCCTCAAGGAGATGATCGCCCCTGGCCTCCTGGTAATTCTCAGCCCGCTGGTGGCCGGCATCGGCTTCGGCAAGAACGCGTGCGCGGGGCTCCTCTCTGGCGCTCTGGTGTCCAGCGTGCAGCTGGCCATCTCCATGAGCAACACCGGCGGCGCCTGGGACAACTCGAAGAAGTACATCTCGGCTGGCCTGCTGCAAGACAAGAAGACCGGCAAGACCCATGCCAAGGGCTCCGACGCGCACAAGAACTCCGTGACCGGCGACACGGTGGGTGACCCCCTGAAGGACACGTCGGGCCCCGCACTCAACATCGTCATGAAGCTGACGGCCATCCTCAGCCTCGTCTTCGGAAGCGCCATCAACACGTACTCCAACAAGAACGGTGGCCCCATCTGGCTCAAGGCGTGAGCGAAGTCCGCGATGTCTCACGCTCTCTAGTGGATAGCGTTGAACTTTTTACCTGAAGGCCTTCGGCCACTGCCGCCTGACCCCTTGCCTGGAGCAGCGTTTTTCGTCGCCCTCCTCGTCGTCGTCGGCCTCTTCGTGCTCCTTCCGTTCCTCTTTCTCTTGGGTGGCGCCCTAGGTTCAGGAGAGAAACAAACACACAGACACAATTAATCGTCGATTCCCCAGAAAATATGGGAAAATACGGGAAATGGGGGGGAAGACAAAACACCCAGAAGATATCGCAAAATATGGGGCATCCTTTTCTTTGTGTGTATTTACTCGTGTGTCTCAGGGCCCCTTCGTAGGTGTCTCCCCTCTCTCAGCGAGCCTTCTTTGATCCTGGAGAGCTCCACTGGGCATCTCTTGGGCGGGCCACCGCGGCCCTCCGCAGCCTGGGGGCTCCCGTGCTTGGCTCCTCGCGCCCTGGGCCCCCCGAGGCAACAAACACCGCCCCCCTGGCCCTGCAGGCCCGCCGAGGCCGCTCCAGTGCAGAGGGGCTCCGGCTGCTCGGTCGCCCCTCGCTCCGCTGCCTCCGGAAGGGCGGGGGCGGCCACGAGGTGGGGTGCCGACTGGGAGAGGGCGTGGACATCCCGGCTAGGGCCAGGAGCTCTCCCCAGACTTCGTGGCCCCCCTCCCGATCTCCATGCGTCCCCGGCCCCCTCCCTGGGCCGCGCACTCGTCGGGGGCGGAAAAGAGGGGGGTGATGACTAGGGGGGGGTGGATATCATGGCGGGGGCCATGATATCTCCCCAGATTTCGTGGCGCCTCTTCTTGTTTCATTACGTCCCTGGCCCCCCCGCCGGGCCGCGCACATGCCGCCGGTCATGATTTGCACCCCCCCCTCTTGGACACCCCCCTCTTGGCCGCTCCCGAACTCGGACGCCCCCGTTTTCGGACGCCCCCGAGAAGGACCGAGGGCGTGTGTCAACGCTCCCGACAGGTGCCGTCGCTCGACCCGGTACCCGTTCCGAGCCCCCTGCAGGGGACTGCTCCGGCGGGTCGTCAGTTCCGTCCTCCTCCCCTTTCTCCTCCTCCTCCTCCTCCTCCTTCTCCTCCTCCTCCTCCTCCTCCTCCTCCTCCTCCTCCTCCTCCTCCCTCGGGTGTTGCTAGAACTGCCCCTGGCCCACAGTGCCCCCAGCTTTTCGCCCGGTTTTTGGAGCCCCTGGGGCCCTCTGGGCCTCGCGGGGGGCGCTCTGGAGGCCGTGGGGGTCTCCCTGGAAATCCCGGGGGCACCTTGGGCCAGGGGTACTTTCAGCAACACCCGACCCCTTGCCGTCCCTTTCAACCTTCACGTCCATTTTTTCTTTTCTGGGGCTCTTTCCAGTAGCCTCCTCCCTTTCAACTTGCGGCAGCGTGGGAGCCAGAAGTCCACGACACTCGGATAGCACAGCGCAGGCATGGAAGACCACGCAAGCGGTGGTGCGACGACATATCCCAATCTGTACAAAGTCGATCATGCATGTGATCAGATACTTTGGGACAGTTGGGAA